TGGTTCCCCTCGCCCCCACGAATAACCGAGTCCCGCAGGCCGGGACAACAAACACTAATGACAATTTCAAATGAGAAATTTTCATGTTAAGTGTCTTGAAACTGTTTAGTAACTGAGCTGAGATATACGCCAAAATCCTCAACCTAGTGAATTTTCCTAATCCTTAAATACATCCTTTGAGGATTTCTGTCAGAAGGTACAGTTTGAATTGATAATTAAATTCTTTTATGTAGCAGAGGAAGAGAATTTGGGAATATGAAGTCACTTCCAACCAAGGGAATCTATAAGCAAAACTAGGGGGTCTGTACCATATTCTATACACCACTCACTCAAGTCTTCATGGGCCACGCCCACCCTACCTTAGGAGACTGTGGTTTAAGAATGGGATGCAGATTCTAAACGAGAGACACTGATACTAAGTAGAAATGCCCCAAACATAGGTGTTAATATCACTCACGATGGCATGACCACACACAGCCCACACCAGGACTCTGGTTTGTTGTTATTTTCTAAAATACTATTAATAAGTGAGCAAAGTTTCATTACATGGTGATATAAAATAAAAACTAAGGAACGTTTTCTATTATTATAGAAAATAGGTGAAGGAATAACTTTAGTGTATGCCAAGCTTAATCCTGTTAAAGGAATTTGAGAAACCCCCCCCAACCTCCAAATCTCAGGGCTTTTTTTCTAACAATGTTTTTGGCAGCCCCTGTGATAAATGCAAAACAAAATGTCCTTTTTTTTTTATTAAGAAAATGTTATAACATAACCCTGTCATTCGTTATATCCATGCCCTTATGAATATACACTAAGTGCTACATTTCTTTTTGCATTTCAAAATACATATATGCATTCTATAAATCATTGGAAAGAAAAGAGATGGCATTCACCAAGAATAAGTTGATACAATCAGGCTATTTACTCCCAAAAGTTTTCATGTTCTAAATGGGAAAAAAATGTTTTTAAAAAGGCAATGCCACTCACATTTTGAAAAATGTCAAGTAACCATGAGGAACCATGTAAAAAGGATTGATGTCAACTCATAATTAATTCTTCCTTCATAGTACCTGACTCATTCACATGAAAATTCACTAAAGAACACGATGGGGTCTGATGTAGAAAGTAGGAAGTGAGGAGACTAGAAGCACTATTTTGACATATATTTACCTCAAAAACAGAATCGGAGCCACAGCCGTAGGTCGCACACGGACCACGTACCCTCATCAAACTCTCTTTCTTCTCATTCTGAATGCTGTAAGAGGCTCTGCATAAGTTCCAGTGTTCGGCAACAAAGCCAATGGTGACCCCAGGAGGACATTGCACTTCCAGCTGTATATGAAACAGTGATGGTGGTTTGGAGGCTGAATGTGCACAATGCACACCGGTGTCACTCACACGCACATATGCACTCACATGCTTATGCACGCACACACACATGCGCACATCTGGATTTGCTCTTAGTCATTCAAGAGCAAGGAGAATTAATGTCATAAAGGAAAGACTCATGTTTCTCTGGGGGCGTTTGCAAGGTTGTATTCCAGAAAGCACTCTAAAGAGGTGAGGTCATGATTCATTGTGGGACAAAGAACAGGCTTAATTACCACTCATTTGCTTCATATAAGATTCCGGTTATCTAAGCTCAGTGTCCCTAACAGGACACACAGCACTGTCTGGACAGATACATTGCCTCTCCTAGCCAACCCGGAAGGACCTGAGGCAAAGAAGACCCTAAATGAATGTACACACTCATGTTGCCGGGCCATAATAATGGCCTTTGTTTCATCTAGGATTCTCATGGCTTCTAACTCCATTAAGTGTGACCAGTTAACTTAAAAAATCTTAATCAGCAAACCTAAATCCCCTACTGACAACTATAACAACAACAAAACCAAAAACAAAAAAGAATGAAGCACCGTGAAAACTGTAAGATAGTCACATTTGATGCAAATGTGTTCCAGGGCATTAGTTGGCTCAAGTACAAAGTCTTCTTAACCCAATATATACCACACTTTACAATAAACACATGCAAAAGTTTAACCTATCAGTTAGTCACAGTATGGTACTAGCAAAAGAACAGTTCCAACACTCTGTCCAATAATAGAAATGATGTGAATGTAGTAATTCAACTGCCACTGTGTGCATAGTATGTACACCTTTGATACTCTGCCCAAAAGAATAACTCATGTTCCAGAATTCACTGTACTACTTAGCTTATGAATTGCTTATTTCTGGACTTTGTAATTAGTATTTCAGACTACATTTGCGTATAGTAGCTAAGAGCACAGAAAGTAAAACTGCCATGAGGTGAGGGGCTGTGTGTGTGTTGTCACAGTTAAAATGATGGAGATGTAGAGGTAGATAACCACATTTTTAAAAAAGACTTTAAGATATTGTCCACTATACTGTTCTACTTAATTTATTTAATTTTCTGTACATTAAGATTTTATAAAAGATTAGACTTTCTCTTTTAATAACAAGAGTCATGTAGATTAAATTCTTTCTTATATGTCCAATGTGAAAGTATGATTATTTTCCTGCTCTCTTCTGCTCTTTCAGAAGGATGTTGGCAGTGGATTTTATACAACATAGGACAAAACTGCAAAACTTTGTACTTTCAGACCCATTATTAATATATATTATTCATATTATATACATATATTGTTCATATATATATATATATATATGTACCTATACAAGCTATTAAATTGTATAGTTCCTTAGGAAAAAAACTTCATAAATGTTTAAACCTCTAAGATTTTTAAAAAATCCTGAGAACTGTGTAGAAATAAGTTACTTTTAAAAATTAAGTTAATTGTATGTTAAATAATTCATAAAAACAGAAAAGGTTGCATTTTAGAAGTATTATACTGTGAATAAATGACTAATGTATTCTTCACTTTTCACGACATACATGAGGAGCAAACTGCAGAACTTCAGAATGAATTAGTGGTTTTCAAAAACTAGCGGCAAAAATGAGAATGAATGGGCAGTTTGTTAATGGAGGTCATTTCTATAGTTATGAAACTGTTGGGACTTCAGTCTTGGATGACAGATAAAGGAGTCTCCATAGGTGATAAAGCTGTGTAACGAAAATACAAAAAAGAATGGTATAAAGAAGGAAAATATCTTATATACATTGTTGGATCAAAGTTTGATTAATTTGTAATTTTGCAGTTCTGGTTCACTTTAATCAATATAATTTATTTCTGACCTCCTTTATAGGAATTTAAAGGCTGTGATATGAAACCAAAATATGGTGTTTGTATATAAATGCCTGCCATATTGGAAAAACAAGGATTAGAGAAATTCACCTCAAACACAAAGCTCCTATTACAAATATAATAACTGCAAAAGAGTATTGAGACAACAGAAAATACTGATGGGCAGGCACAATGCTATCTATCGGGAGCTGAGTTTAGAGACAGGTGTATACTGTTAGGTCTTCAATGCAACCATTCTGTCAGGTAAGAACTCTTAATTAATTATCAACTGAGTTTTACAGGTAAATTGATAAAGAGATGATGTGGTAAGCAAATTATAAGTAGCAAAGAATAGTATGTAACATACAATTTATAAACCCTAGGTGTTCTAATTCAGGGCCCAGACAGGAGAGTTAGCAAAGTGAGGAAATGGAGGAGAGACTATGAACCCTGGAGGAGAAAAATCAGCAAGGAATATGATATTGTTAAATACAATCAAAGAGAAATAATGGAAATGAGAAAAGTAATCAATTGTGTAATAAAATGCACAATGAAGAGCATTGTGGCTGTTAAGACAAAGCAAGAATGTGAGACTGAGGGATTCAGAAGAAGGAGAAGGCCACAGGACATTCATATACATACATACACACACAACACATATATGCATATACATATATGTATATACATAACGCATGTATATATAAATTAGCACATATGACCAAAACTTCCGAGATTTCTGGGATACATTCAAGAAACCAAGTCTAAGAAACCATGGAGTAGGAAAAAGGGATGTGCTAAAGTCTAAATCCTAGAAACTATGGCACGTTTAGAAAAAGTCATAGCAGCCAAACATAAGAGGCATTTAGAATCATGAACAGAAATGAGCAGAAGAGAACCTCTCCATGACACATCACAGTGAAGATGTAAAAATTACATAACAAAGAAACAATACGAAAGTTATGAGGGGAAAATGCCAGGCTACACACAAGGGAAAAGACACACAATAGCATCAGATTTATTCTCATCGACTTCTAAACCAGGAAATTATGAAATAAAAATATACAACTGCAAATAGGATTGTAACTCCAAGTCAAGTTACATTTTAAATTGATGGAAAAATAAGACATTTCACGAAAAGCACAGACTAAGGCCCTGAATGGCAACCAAGAGAGACCTGCAAGAAAATACTTAGAAACTACTTAAAGGTTATGTACTGCCCAACATGGGTGCTGGGAACTGAACATAGATTTGCTGCAATAATTTAAGTGCACTTTTCTCAACTGCAATTCCCTTTTCTCAAATGACTCTAACTTGTGTGATGTTAACAAAACTCTAACCAGCACAAATATAAAATAATTGTAAACATTTTGGCATCAAGCATTGAGTTTCCCAGTTTCATAAAACAAACACTTATAGGCAGAGGAAGGACCAATATGTCCTGACAGGGTAACAGTGACAGACCTCAATGCCCCATTACCATCCTCAAGATTTCCTTCAAACTAAAATCTACAACTAAAAACTATGGAACTTTACAGCTAAGCTATGTCATACATTATCTCTCAGTAGCTCATGGAGTCTTTTGTAAACACTGGTGACATTGTAGGCCACAAGTATAAGAGAATTGAAACACTTCCTTATATTCTGTCATATCACAAGAGAATAAAAGTAAAAACAATACCAAGAAAACCTAGAAATTACACAAACCTGCACACTTTCAGTGAATACTGGATCACTGACGAAATCAAAGAGAAATCTGAAACAATATTACATTCAAACTGAAATAACAACAAAGCTTTTCAAATAACCAGGACATAGACAGAGCAGTTCTAAGGAACATATTAGAGATGGGAAGGCCTTCATTAAAGGTCAGGTCTCAAATAATCTAATGATTCACCTAAAGGTTCTAGAAAATTAACAGCAAGCCAAGTCCAAACGAGGTAGATGGTAAATAATTATAAAGATTAGGGCAGAAAATTGATGACTTAAAGAGATATACAAAATCAACTAAAATACTTTATTTTTGAAAAGATGAACAAGATTGAAAATCCCTAGACACATAAGCTGTAATAAAAAGAGGGCAAAAATTAACAAAATCCAAACAAGAGAGATGAATTAAAACAAAGTCCAATGTAATCCAAAAGTGCCTTTAGGCAATCCTATGAAAAATTTCCAAACAGCTTAACACATATGATCTGCCAAAATTAAATCAAGAAGATATAAATAACTTAATCAGATCAGTAATAACCAACAAGATTAATAGAACAAAGGTACTATTCCCTTGGTATCAAAACCAAATAATGGCAGAACAAAAAAGAAACTCACAGGGCACCAGACAGAAACCTCTTAGTAAAATATTGTAAATTGAATTTAAGAACACATTAAGATCATATTTCATAACCAGTGATCATACTTCATGATCCATCTCAGGAATACAAGTGGTCAAGAACCCAAGACCAGATAGGTCATGGTTATAGAAGAAAATCTCCTGGTTTTGTGCTAACAGAACATAGCAATAAAATGACTCTTAATGACCCATTGCTATACCCATAGTTCAGAGCATCACTTGACCCTCATAAGAAAAGCTTCTTGAAGCAAATGGAAAATAACACACAACCTGTCAATATGCAGAGATAAGAGTGTAGGAACACTCAGCCCAAAATGGAATGTCTCCATCAACATCTTCAACCTCAAGCCTTAGGATCTATTCAGAAGAGGAAGTAGAAATGTTTTAAGAACCAGAGGTGATAAATGTCTCTAAGGAAACAGCATCTTCCAGGCACAACAGAATCAATGCACATGATCTTACAGAGAACAGGGCACATGCACAGGGTTGTCATTGGCTTTTTTGGTTGTTTGCTTGTTTTCTGTAACATTTATTTTTTGGACCTGCATAGTGGGACAGGAGAAGGACCAAATTGCAACACAGAGCATACACACTGTATGTCTAGCTCCACCATTTGCAGGGTTCTTCTGTCTGGTATTTCATGTACTTTTAAGACTCATTTTTGCACAAAAGTGTAGGCTGTGCTTGGCTCCTGTGATCAGAAGCCTGTCTCAATTTGTCATATGGGGAATACGTTGATACTATTATATAACGTGTGATTACCATTACATCTCTGTAAGTGCCTAATTCATCAGAAAGTAACTACTGCCAAAATACCCTCAAGTTGTACTTGATGCTGCCTGCCTCCCCCCGAACCCCCTCCCCCCCCACCCCCCCACTTCGCCTCGTGCCACCTATCTAATACATAAGGAGATAAAGAAAAACTGTTAAGGTCTGTCTTGTGATCTAATTCAGCTTCCTTCCTCTCCACTAGTTTCAGTTTCATCCTGAGCTGTAAGGTTAGAAAGCTTCTCTTCATGTTTAGGAAGAAGACCAACCATCCTGTAAAGGGCAGATCAGGAAGCAACAATGAATCCCACTCCTGTTCTCTGACCTCTTGCCTTGCACAGGGGCAGCAGAAGCAACAGCAGGTACATCGGAAAGGCCTCTGCATGGTCATGATCTCTCGGCCCAAGCAGTCAGTGACCCTGAGCACAAAGGGTCGTAGGCTCCGATAGGCATTCCTGGTAAAGTCATCTGTGTCTTCAGTTACGATGTAAACCATCTGGTCCATGTTGTTCTTGATATCATATCTATTATTAGTTTGAAAACCTGTCAGCACTAAAAGTTAGAGTGAGAAAAGGATCTTAAGTTAGAACCAGCTGAGACAGACCTCAGACAGCCTTTGTTATTTAAATGAAAGAAGAAAAAAGAAGAAGGAGAAGGATGAAGAGAAGAAGAAAGAAGACAGAGGAGGAGAAGGAGAAGTAGTAGTTGTGGTAGTAGTTGTGGTAGTAGTAACGGCAGTAGTATGGTTGGGGCTGAAAGTCAAATAGATTTTAAAAATTTCAGAAGAAAAGGTGAAATACAACCATGTGATCCATTAAGTATTTTCAAAAAGTCAAACCTCTGCTATGTTTAATATGAAATTATTTTAACAGTTTTTCCACATTAAAGTAATAGTTAATACAATGTTCTTGGGATATCAGAATTCAGAAAATGTTAATAATAAAACCAGTTTAAAGAATCACACATCAGACTATGATTTAATCAGCTCATGAGATGAACAAAATGACTGGAGACATAGTACTTACAAATAAAAAAATAAGTCCAAACTGACCAAAGCCCCATGTGCTGTGCCCAGAGGGGCATGGCCAGCTCCTACCCTGAGCATGAAGAACCTGCAGGGAATATGCATTATCAAAAGCAATCACTTCTGTCTTAGGTTGGTAAGGCTCTGTACAGAATCTTGCCTGTCCTTGCTTGCCATTGAAAATTGGATTCAAATGGCACAACAGATGGAATAGAATTGATATGGAATAAATTTTTATTTCTTGATCCAAAAAAAGACTATAGATAATAATTCACTTTATTGATTTTATGAATATAAGGTAACAGAGAATAATTTTCTCTTTTTGAATCACTAAAAAAGCCCATCAACATAAAATAAGGAACTAGGTATGAAGTAACAGAAATTTACATCTGATTAAAATATCTCTAATCAAAACACAATGTGAATCAAAACAAAGTTATACATACGTTCCAGAGGCTCAAAATGCTGGAGAACATGTATGTTGTCCAACTGTGGGGACATAACAAAAGCAATTAGAAGACAGAAAGCCAGAATTAACATTTATTAGAATAAAAAAGAATGTGATGACACAGTATTAAAATGTATCAGTCAGGGTCTAGAGAGTTGGCTCAGCCTTAAGAGCATTGGCTGTCTTTCTAGAGGAAGTGAATTGGATTTCCACAATGTGCATGATTGCTCACAATCATCTGTGACTCCAGTTCCATAGAATCAGACACTTTTCTCCGGGTACCAAGGCATGTGGTGCACAGATACATATGCAGGCCAAATACCCATATGCATGAAATAAAATAAAAGTCATTAAAATGTATCAATTGATGCCAAGTATTTCTTTGAAAATGGAATGGAATGGAATCTAAAAATGTAATTAATCAAGTTTATCTCATCTGCATCCAACTAGATAGATGTTAGGAGAGGTGTCTAAATAAGAAAAAAAGTTTCACATTAAAAGAAAGAGATGACTGACATCAGGAAAACATCTGCTTGCTATAGTGACGGCATGTTGAGGAAACCATATCCATGCATAGAGGCATAGGTTTTTTTCTCTATCAACTTCTGTGAGATAGTCATATAGTAGCAAATCAGGATGACACAGCATAGGCTAGACACAGAGTATGTGATTCTCTTGTGGTTTGGGGAAGGTAAACAAGCCAAGGTAAGCCTTGAATAGGACTCTCCGTTTCACATGGTTTCTTGATTGCATCTCCCAGTGGTTAATCACTGTGGACACTAATACAAGGTTCTTGCAGGAGTGCATACTTTAGTATTGATACTATGAGGGTAGCACCATGTAAGAAGGATTTGAAAGGGAGGAAGCATTCTAATATTGCAGTCCATAAAAAATATTGGTTAGGTACACATTGAAGAAACTTCTACTTGAATGGGATTGGAATCATGTTGAAGATGGACAGTTTGATGGTTCTATTATCAGTTATACTTCATGACATCCCAGCAGAAGATAAAGAGTTCCCTCTAGGACAGAGGGCTCATTATCAACATAATTCTAAGTTGTTTAGATCATTAGACCATTCATAATCACTGAGCATGGAATGCTGCCTAAAACACTGCATTTCATCAAAATTCACTAAATAATGAAAGCTACATGAATGTAACAAGATTTAAAACAACTGCTCATGGATGACATATGGGGTGATTAGATCAAAGAGGATATAGGAGGACATGATCCATGTTAAATAAAAAACTGTTATAAATTAATAATCAGATATCGAGGGACCACTTCATACAAGATATCAAAATGGTTACTACAGTTGTTTGCAATTTCTTCTATAAAATACTAAGGGATTAAAATATAGACATATTAAAAAATTGCTAGGTGGTAAAAGTATCTACTGCAGGGCAAAATGTTCTTACTGAGGCTGCACCAGCAAGGAATAGACAAATAGGCAGAGTCACTGACAAAGGCAAAGCTCTAGAAATATTCTAAAGCTGCAGTGAGTAAGGGCTCTTTGTAGTCTTAACAAAGTATCATGTGATCTCTATGTGAGATCTCAAACCACCTAACAGAGAAATGACACAAGAATAACTAATAGTGTCCAGAGCCAGCATCTGTAGTACATGCCCTGCTGGCCAACCACAGGGCGGCCATTACACGTATATCCACTAAAACTTCTCACAATATTATAGGCTGCTGTTGACCCAGCTATTTCATAGATAATAAGAAATGAAAAGTTAGTGAAAGTAAAAAGGAATAAAAACCAGGTTTGTCTGGCTCCAAACCTCTTTCAGTTTCATTTATTTTAAACTCAATAATTCCTGAAAGGGAAAACAGAATTCATGAAGTATTTTGATTTACTCTCTGAATGAAAGTGAAAATTGACATACCTTTTTCCAAAAGATTTCAGATTTTAAAATCTTTTGAAACTTCACTGGGTGTAGAAATGGGGCTGTCATTATGGTCACTTTTGAAAGCCTTTCAAATAATGAACACATCTACTGAAGTTTGCTCAAGCAACTTTAATAAGAAATTTCATTCATATAACATTCACAGTTTTCTATTATAACTGTTGACCTTCATATATCTGCAATGCAACAGTGCACCTGTGATTTTTAACACATAAGACTAACAGGTTCCTTCTACACAGAGAACTGGAAACTGATATGTCAACTCTAAAACCCATGTACTACATGGAACACATTAAATTGAGATGCTCTAATAATTAATGTACTTAAAATACCTCCTTTCCCAAAAGCAAAACAAGATTTATAAATTCAGAAGGCACTTCCACAATTTGCTTTATCTTATTTTCACCGAGTTTTCTTTTGCAGGTTTTAAAATATCATTTGTACGGAAACTGCATGTCACACCAGCTTTTATTCTATCACTATAATTTGTGTCCACAGAAACTGTGATGTCAGTGTGTCCTGTGAAAGGGACATGGATTTTAGTCTGAAGCAACATCTTGCACTTACTTAGATGTATGTGCTTGGGGGTTCAGGGGTGTAGAGTCTGAGATGTTAAGAAGCCAGAGGTTGAACATTCTATGATCACCTCCCTTTGTCTAGTGTTCTCTTATTTTGTTTTTCTTAACATGTACATTTTATTTGTAAGTAAATGGCATAGCAGCAGGTTAGTGACTCTCATTCTTAGTTTTCTAATTTCTTTCATAAAACTACAATGAATATTTTGAAAGTCATTTTTGTTGCTTCAAGAACAAATGTGTGTTCTATTCATTCTCTAGCTTCAAATCCACCATCACGAGCCTCTACTGTCAATGACTTTTCTCCATATTTGTTCTAGCCAACATCTTATTCTCCCTCCTTAAACCTCATGCTCATATTTCATAGAAAAAAGCTTTGGATTTATTGGAGTACCTGAGCTAAATATTCCAGACCAGGAGGGCAGTTGGGCATAGGAGCTGGCCCTGGCATCCACATTATGGCAGCAGGCTGATTCATCAAAGGATATTTGCCAGGCTGGTACTGGATTGGACGGGTTCTGCCAATGGGGTGGTACAAGGGGATGGCACCAGGCTGCTGGGGAATGTAGTATCCCATAGGCAAGACTGCAGGTGAAGGGGCAGCTGGTCCAGCAGGGCCTGTGTTCTCAAACAGATGAAAGTATTATGCGTTATCAATTTAGTGTATTAGAAGTTATATAAATTTTACATGAGAAAATAGCCATGCAACATGTTTTTAAAGAAAGTGAGTCCTGCTGTTCTCTGACTGTGTACCCAAATATCAACCAGGTACTAAGGGGATTATTCACATATTAGTTCACCTGATCCTCTGACAACTTGCGATGTCATAATGCCCATTTCACAGATATAGAAATAAAGTTTGATGTGCTGAGAAACAAGACAGCCTCTCACTGCATGAGGCTTTTTCTTGAGGATCATAAATGCATTTCATTGGTTTTAATGGAGTTAGCAGAAGGTCTAATATGCAATTATTATAGTCATTTTACAGCTTATCACAAAGGGGTCCTATGCTGGGTTATCTGTTCAATCGCTTCCTTCTGTCTTTTCATCTGGTCTTCAGGCAGTTTCTCTCATAATCAATTTCTTAAGTTTGTTTCTTTATCACACTACCACAGTGGAGTGGTTTCAACAAATATTCCGTTCCTTGGCTCTAAACTGGGAACTCCAAGGTCAACTGCAAATCTAGCCTATGCTCACCCTCTTTGTGGCCTGGAGTGATTACCCTTCAGGAATACCCAGGCCATCAATCTGATGCCATCTCTCATAAGACCACTAACTCCACCCTAAGGACTTCACTCTCAAGGCCTGGGAAAACCTCGAAAAAGAGATCATCTTTCCAGCTTTTCATATAGGTCCCAGCTGGTGAACTTGGGGTAGTGGCATAAAATACTCGGTCCAAAGTACTTATCCATAATTATGGCCAATTCTTCACACCCCACCACAATCCAACATCTGATGAACTCTGTCATTATAAATCATTCAAGCTCCCAAGAACAACTTTTTCCAATTTTTTTTAGAGTAGTATTCAGAATACTAAAATGCTACAAAATAACTAATGCATAACATTGTCCTCCACCAGGCCAGCTGAAGTCATGTTTGCTACAAAAGAAAGGGGTACAGAAAAACAAAAACAACAGATCTAAATTTCAAAAATTGGCTGTTTAAATATACTAGTTTCAAATCTGTAAGACAGTCATTTTGGGATTGTTTCTTTAATTGTGCCACTATACAGCAAGTGCTTCAAAAATAGCCTGGAGTTCTCAAAAAAAAAAAAAAAGATTCCTGGCCCAGTTTCCATTTATCAAACACAATGTCCAAGTCAAAATAAGGAAGAAAAGCTTCTCAATTTCTTTCCTTCTCTAAATGTATAATTCAGTGGGCTTTGTTGTTATTGCTGCTGCTGCTCTTGCTGTTTTCTCTGCTAGCAAAGCTGAGCAACCATCCCCACTGACTAAATTCCAATGACTAATCATCCATTAACAGCCACTCTTATTTCTTCCTCTCTCATCTCTGGAAACCATTCTCTGTGGTTTGCCTAAGGTGGGCATGCCATGTAGATGGTAGTGTACAGTGTGTAACCTGGGGGTCAAGTTTCTCTCAATCTGTGTGTCTTCAAATTCTATTCATGTCATAGCACATGCATTGCACTTGCAATACTTCATTCTTTTTTATGGTTGATTAGCATTCTTCAATGTAGAATATATAGCATTATTTGTGTTCTTTAACTCAAGGACAACTCTTGGTTTGGCTTTACTTAGGTGATTATAACGACACTGTTGTCATGATCCATGTACAAATTTCATGTACACATTTGGTATGAACATTTTTTTAAGCAACTTAGAGAAGAAAGGGTTTATTTCATCATGGAGAGGCAGTCAGGGCAGAACTCAAGGCAGGAACTGAAGCAAAAGCCATGTAATAGGGCTGCTTACTGGCTTGATTCCCATTGCTTAATTTAATTTAGTTTAATTTAATTTAATTTAATTTAATTTAATGTCTGAGTATTCTGCTGCATATACATCCACAGGCCAGAGGAGGGTATCAGACCCCCTTATAGATAGTTGTGAGCCACCATGTGATTGCTGGGAATTAAATGCAAGACCTGTGGAAAAGCAGCCAGTGCTTTTAACCACTGAGCAATCTCACCAATCTATGAATATCCTGGCTGGATGGACTGGAATTCTCTCTGTAGACAAGGCTGGCTTCATACTTACAGAAATCCACCTGTCTCTGCCTCCCAAGTGCTGAGATTAAAGGCATCCATTAAAGGATCAAAGTCTGGTAGCTCTTCTTGGGCTGAGGATTGAGTAATTTGCTGAAGGATCCTAGCTAGTATATGACAAATGGAAAATTCAAACACTTTGACTACTTAGGTACTCCTTTTAAAACATTTTTAAAAGTTAGCATACAACTTGCTTTTGTTGGGATATTTTCACACATGCACCAGTTTGTTCCTAGTCATCTTTTCCCCTTTCTATGCTCCTCCATCCTTATTATTCTCTTGATAGTTCCTGCCTTCTTCAAAACATCTCTCAGTTTTCATGCCATATGTAGTCTATTATACTACATTGGTTCTCCTTCCCATTCATATGCTGATGGACATCTAGGCTGAATCCGTTGTTGATGGACACATATCCTGGATCCATCGTTGACACATAGCCTGGATCTGTTGTTGATGGACATGTATGTTTCACATGAGAAATATTTTTTTGTATTTAGCTTAATATGAATTATAGATGGGACCTATATAGCCATTATTATATCAGGATATGGTCCTTCTGTTTTCAGTTTCTTTGGGGTTTTTATCATAAAAGGATGCTGAACTGTCAGAAGCCTTTTCTACATTGATATTTCTGCATTATATAGCATTTACTTAACTAATGATTAACTACATTCCATCAAATATCCCTACTGCATTATAAGCAAGGAATAGGAACACTCACTAGGGAATTCTGTGGGAGCTGTAGATCTACTGCCAACAACTATTTCAATCCTTAAGTTTTACACACACACAACACCCAAACAGACACACACACACACACAGACACACAGACACAGACACACAGACACAGACACACACACACACACACGTCCTAATCACAGAAGCATAGTGGTCTAGTATTAACCAACATTGAAAAAAATTAGTTAGTGTAAGGAAAGACACAACCTCAGAGCTTGAAGAAGTTTCTTTGAAATGAAAAATAGAGAAAAGATAGCATTTTCTGCAAAACCAGTTGCACAAGGGATCAAATCCCTGCAATTTAGACATTGGTGTTTGAAGCTAAATGAATCTGTAACATTCAAATTTATGATAAAAGCTTGTTAATAAAGTCATGAACTACAAAATCAAGTCTCTAATGCTATCTCAAAACAAGGCATTGATGTAAACAGTACTTTATCTAGAGAACACGAATCAAATCAGCCTTAGGAACCAGCTCCTTTGACGAAGCTAGAAAGAGACTGACACGCTAAAACTGTCTTCTGTATTTTGGAGCATATTAATGATTTCAAGAAAAGCAAATGGTTATTATAAAGCACTTAACTGCTGCAATCACAGGGAGATGCACACTACACTAGGAGATAACAAGAGTGGTTCTTAACCTACAAAGACAAGATGGGCTATAACATAAATGGTAACTCATTCAACCTGGTCCTCCATGGCAAGGAAAGGTCTTATGAGAACACAGACCAGAACAAGAACTGAACAAAGTAGTCTCAGCTCTACAGAACTTAGGGCTATGTGTGGAGTGCTCACAGACATGGCTGGAGAGCAAGGCAGGTAAGAATATGGGCATATCTTACACACACAGCTTGAGCTCTGTGCCTTGAGGATGAAGAGTAGATCTTTTCATATTTGTAATCCTAAGCATACAACATTACATTATGCGGGAGGTCCTTGCTAGCTAGCATTCAAATGTAAGTCAAGGAAGTTTAATTGTGTCGAAGAAGAAATCATTAAAACTGGCATTTGAAAAAACTTGTTGACTCATTAGTGGACTGGTTATTAAGGAACGATTCTAATGTTTCTGGTTTGTGCTCCTACATGTCTCCAAAGTGTGGAAAATGGAGTGTGAATGTGGGAGTCATATGTCAAATCTGGTTCAGCGATTATGTTTGAGAACATGAATCTATGCAAAGAACCTGGTCTACAGGCAGTTGCAATTGAAAATCTAAAGTGTAGTGTGCTAAAATGGGCCAGAATAGTATTTATAAGTATCTTAAAGTACACAAAACTACTTTGATTTTCACATTTCAAGATCATGAGTGTGTAAAAAGAAGGTTGGATGGAAGAGAGGGAGAGCCAGGCAAGACTCAAGAGAATGTCAAAGAATACTGACAAAACCAGCTTTTAAGAATAGGGATAGAGCTCCTGATTGTTGAAGTTAGGCCTGTAGAAGCCCCATGCTCTCAGAAATAAGACTCAGACTCAAAAATATATTTACAAATACCTTGGCCATATAGCTAGGCTCTACTCTGAGTAGATTATAACTAAAGAAATCCATTCATTTTAACCTACATTCTGCAACATGACTGGCGATCAGTGCTCAGGTACCATGTGTCTCTCTCTTCACATCTTCCCAGGCAAACCTCCCTCCTGGCTCTATCTCAGAGTTCTTTCTCCTCCAAGATGTCTCACCTCTCATTTCCTGCCTAAGCCGTTGGCCAAAGGCATTTTAATTGACAGGTGATGCATCCATAGAACACACAAAGATATTCTCTTTACACTTGATAAAGACTGAAAGTACATAAAGTTAAATGACTGATAATGGTAATTTAAAATGCTGTTAACTTAAAACTAAATGAGAACAAAGATGAGTATCTATAAGAGAAGAATGAGAGACATTTTGAATTTAAACTTATCACGAAGGATGTTCTGTAATTTCTAAAAGAACTCTTATGAGAGAGCTCACCTGAGCTCGGAGTCAGGGATCCTTCCTCAGATTCTCAAAACCCTCATTTAAATAATACTAATCATTATATTATGTAAATGAGTTAATTACCATATCTTGTACTTTTTCTATAAAAGCACTTGAAGTAATAAAAGTTGCTGATCACTAGCCAGAAGAAAAGTAGAACTTATGTTAAGTTATTCAGAGGTTAAATTTTCAAAATTCTGTACCAATTTATATAAATGAATGATTTTTTTTATTATAAATGTGTATTAACCCATGTTAAAAAATGGAGAACAAAAAAGAAAGTTATGTGTAAGAAATTGACATATCATGTTTCCTTGAGTTGGAAACTGCCCATAATGGTTTTGACTGTTTCTGTAGGAAAACAAACTGAAACAAAACAATATATGTTCAACTTTGCACAATATCTCAGATTAATTTACAGAGAACTCTAGTATGAAGCTTTATGCCAATGCCAGTGTGAGAAACTGCCTATGGGATTTTCCTGCTTAATAACTTTTAGTATTACCATTGTTTTTTATTTCAAAAAGTCATACTATTTTGTCTTCTTAAATAGATTCCATGTAACCATGGTTTATTTATTAACTATCCTTTTAATAAACAATACAGGACATTATTTTTGGTTGGAAAATACATTCAGAACTATAATGGAAATTAAATTCTATTTGAATTTAAATAATTTCATTAAACCAAAATTTGCAAGTTTATTATTTCTGGTTTCTATAAATTAGAAGAACACAATTCATATCATAAGAATTAACACTTCCCTGATTTGTTGGTCATGGAGGTGCCGCAGGCTCCAAAACAAGGTAAGTTATTGCCCATTGCTCTTGCTCCCCAAACTGAACTTGATGGCACAGTCTTATTGTTCAAAACACAAAGCATACACTTAGAATATAGACAGACACAGAAATCACGCTGGAAGTGAACTAGAAGCTTCTTCATAGGTGGCTGATTTCCACAGTGCCAGAAGGTACTATACAGACTACCGAGATGGGGAAGCCATCAACCAATGTTCCCAGTGAGCTACAATGTTGACTTTCTAGACAAAATGTGCCCAGCAGAGGCATAATTATGATGAGGATGAAGGAGGCATGGTGCAAAAAGACATCTTATGGACACAGCCCAGATGTTGCTTTCATGAACTCACAGAAGCTGTGGCTATCTGCTTAAGAGACTTCACAGCTGCTTGAGGACTATTAGCAGTTAATGGTTGCTGGGAAAGAGGGTATCATTTTCTTATAACCTATGTTCCTATTAACAATGCTAATTGAACTCTATGGGACACACATGTGCTTGGGAGCACACACCTACAGGTGCAGTGGTGGAAGAGAGAGACCAAGACACACAGAGACAGACAGACAGAGATAGGGGAGAGAGAGAGAGAGAGAGAGAGAGAGAGAGAGAGAGAGAGAGAGAG